CCTGTGGAAAGTGGCCAGAGGGGCCCCAGTGGTACCGACCGTGCAGGAGGCAACATGCTCGTCCAGTGGGAAAGTGGTGACTACCCCTAGGTCGTGGAGGTGACTGACACCCAGCAGGTTCCTAGAGAACGAGGGGGTGTAGTAACCTATAAGAAAACCTGAGGGAGCCGCCGGACACGGGAGAGTGGTGGTGCTGTGGGCAACTACACGTCCCACAGAGGGGTCAGCCAAGGCGACAGTGACTGGAGTGCGCAGTGGTGTGTGGTCAGTACAGTCGCGAAAGAAACAGCCCGATGCTCCAGAGTCTAGGGTGAAGGAAAGCCGTGCAGTATGTGGGGTCGCACCCGAACTAGCTACAAAGGCTGGTGCTAGACTAGTGGTAGCTGCAGCTCCTACACAAAGACCCTCAGAGGCGCCTGGACTGGAAACAACACACGCACCAAGACTGTAAACACATGTCTCTATTCGTGCAGACGAGAACGGTCCTAGACCAGGCAGGTGAGACTCAACTGGTGCAGCAGTGCGCTGGCGAAGACGTGAGGGCCAGTGCGGTGTAATAGCGTGAGGACCAAAACGCTCACGGTGGAGGTTGTCGAGTCGACGGTAGCAGTGGGACGCAGAGTGGTCAGGACTCCAGCAGGTAGTGCCAGCACCAGGGCCTGTCAGGGCCCGGTACCCGCAGGGGCCGACGTCTCGCTCACTGCCAGCTGAGTCACTGCTGGGGGCACCACACTTTGGACCCGCAGGTCCCCACTGCCGGGAGTGCTGCTGCTGGCCCTGCTGCTGGAGAACCCTAGTACACGCCATGTGAGGAGCTAGAAATGGAGGAGGGTGCGTACAGGTGGGCCTAAGCTGCTGCTGGTGCTGCTGGGGGGCAGTCTAAGCGTTTGCTGGTTCTGCTGGTGGCAGCCTAAACTGCTGCTGGTTTAACTGGGGGCAGCCTAAGCTGCTACTGGTTCTACTGGTGGCAGCCTAAGCTGCTGCTGGTTCTGCTGGTGGCAGCCTACGCTGCTGCTGGTTCTGCTGGTGGCAGCCTAAGCTGCTGCTGGTTCTGCTGGTGGCAGCCAATGCTGCTGCTGGTTTTACTGGGGGCAGCCTAAGCTGCAACTAGTACTGCTCGTGGCAGCCTAGGCTGCTGCTGGTCCTGCTGGTGGCAGCCTAAGCTGCTGCTGGTTGAAGTGGGGGCAGCCTAAGCTGCTACTAGTTCTGTTATGTGCGGTTCTGTGCGGTTCGTACGGTTCTGTGCGGTTGAATGCGGTTCAGTGCGGTACTGTGCGGTTGAGTGCGGTACTATGCGGTTGAATGCGGTGGAGTGCGGTCGAGGGCTGTTCCAGGGTGCAGGTGACAGGTAGGGCGGCGGGTAAGGGTTTCCAAGTGGGGCGGCGGGTGGGGCAACAGGTCGAGTGGCGGGTTACCAGGTGGGGCGGCGGTTTTAGGTCATGGGGAGGGTGATAACTGGTGGGGCGGCGGTTTAAGGGCGTGGGGAAGGAGCTAACGCGTGGGGCAGCGGGTGGGGACGATATCTGACCGGTGGGGACGACTTCTAACCGGTGGGGAGGTGGGTTTCGACGGGATCTAGGTAAGTCTACGGTGTCAGCCCAAATGGGCGACGGGTAAGGCAACGGGCGCGGGTAGCGGGCTCCTCCCCTACTCGCGAAATGTCGCGACTAACGTGCGCATGGGTGCGCGTGCGCCTAGGGATGCGCGCGCGGGTCTGACGCGCGCTTAACGGGTGACGCGCGGGGCTTAACGGGTGACGGGCGGGACTTAACGGGTGACGCGCGGGGCAGAAACCGGTGACGCGAGGGCAAAAAACGGGTGACGCGACGGGCGGAAAACGGGTGACGCGACGGGCTACGGGGCTACCGGGGCGCTTCGGGCCTTAGGGCGCTTCGGGCTAGGACGGGTTACGGGGCGGTGGGCCCATCGGATCGGTTAGCTCTGATACCATGTCAGAATCCCAACCACTAGACCATTGGGATAAAAGGGCTTGTTAAGTAGCGGGCCAGTGCGCCCATAACCCCCCAGGACAACGAGCCTGTAACCCTTCCCTAGGATCAATCGGGGATCACCAGTGGACATCTGACACCCCCCCGCACTGGAATGCCCGAAGTGCACACACCGGGATTCAAACCCGAGACCTTCACTCTGATACCATGTCACAATCTAACTAGCGTGAAGAATTAACTAAGGGAATGAAGTTACAAACAAGATATAGGAAACCCTAGCAAATGTCCTAGCACAAGTGTAACACATTGGACAACACCTAGACTAATATATAGAAACTATATAAATATAGTTTGACAGACCTGACTTGGTGGTGGTCGACGTAGGAGGGGCCGACGTCGACCACAACTCGGGACGCCAAGCAAGCAAGGCGTCGAGTGGTTGGGCGTCAACTTGGTGACGCTTACTTCGGATAGCCGACTTGGGTGGTCGGCTGACAACTGCACTGGCCGACATGGAGCTGGTCGACCAGGAGTGCTGGTCGACGTGGAGCTGGTCGACCAGGAGTGACGTCGACCTGGAGCTGGTCGACCAGGGGCGTGGTCGACCTGGTGAGGTCGACTTCAGGTGGTTGTCGACTTGGGAGGTCGACGGGCACATACGGGAGGAGCTGGTCGACGTGGTTGCCCGGTCGACCAGGTTACCTGGGTGACGAGGTCCTGTGGAGGAGTGCACCAGACGCCCAGGCGAAGTTGGCGAGTCCGACCTCGGTGGTGGTATCCCGAGGTCGACATGGCGGATCAGGTGGAGTCGTCAGCACAAGGATGACTTGGTGTATGCGTTGTGCAGGTGACGAGGCTCAGCCCGCCAATCATCTGCGAGCACCTGCGAAGCGGGTGCGCTGCTGTTCTGCGGGAGCAATGCTGGCACGCCGTCAACCTGCGACGTTGGCACGCCGTCGACTTTGCACTGCTGGAGCGCGGTCGACCAAGTCGTGCTGGAACGCGGTCGACCATGCTGCGCTGGCAGTCGACCGACCTGAATGCTAGCTCCGATGTAGTCTTGCCATGCCAACTTCATTATACCATTGTTGTCAACTTTTTCTAGTGAAACTCTTGCCAACTTGCCCCGTGAACTAGCAAGCAGTGTGTGCACTAGGAAACGACTAAGGACAACGAACGCAGAGATCACACGAGCACCCGTGCCTAGCCCGTAGTCTAGCTCCCGTTGTAGTAGTTATCTCCGCAGATATGTGTGCGGTTTGGGGAGGTGAAGAGTTATGTCTTGGAGCATGTGGAGCTGTCTTTGGAGCTGAGCAGTGGCAGCACAACCACAAGGCAATCTTTCCTTGTGAATGGGAGAGAGGAGGCCAAGGATGCAGAGGAAAAAGAGGAGGAGGTACAGAAAGTGAGCGAACGTGCACCGACACTTCCTTCACGTGCTACAAGTGCTCCACAAATCCGAGTCACCCCGCAACAATGCCAAGGCCTTCAAGTCCCTGCAAGTGAGGAGGAAGGAAGGAGTAAGAGGAGAGTTCAACCTCCCAATAGGCTGATATATGATGTTTCGGAAAATCCGGGCAAGACAGCCTTGGCCGGAGCGGCAATGATGGTTGGAGATAACGAGGAGAGTGACTTAGAGGAGTGTGCTTACGTGTTCTCTCCGGTGGAGATGCCGAGAGCACCAGCAACTCTCAAGGAGGCCTTGGAGAGTAGTGATGCTGAGGAGTGGAAGAAGGCCATGGAGAGTGAGCTAAAGAGCATTGAGGAGAATGAGACGTGGGAATCGGTGGAGCTACCGGAGGGGCGTAAGGCGATTACGTCCAAGTGGCTCTTCAAGATCAAGTCCGACGCCAACGGCAAGATCGAGCATTACAAGTCTAGGCTTGTGGCCAATGTCACCGCATATGCACTTAATGCATATGCAATAACAGTAGAATGATGGTAGAGTGTGGGCTTCATACTAAGTCCATAGGAAGATGAGATAGGAATAAGAATATGAGTAATAGGTGTAGGATGTAGCGAAGTTACTGTTAGGAGCGAGGGTGTAGAAGGGGGGAAACAGGATAAGAGCGGTTGAGATAAAAAGGGGGAAAGACTCCAAAGGGCGAAATGTGAAACCAATGAACCCCAACCCCGAGCCGCACATTTGGAAATGTGCAGCCAGGGGTGGGGTAAGGTCACTCACCTCCAACCCATCGATGCTTTCTCGTTGTTATTCTCTTACACTAGTGAATCTGATTGTCTCAGGCTCTAGCACCCGACAGCACGACACTAAGAGGGAACCTACGGGGTGAGAGACCAGCCTCTTTCATAACAACGAGAAAGGGACACGGGGGGCTAGGACTGTAACTTCCTAGCGCGAACGAGATGGATCGATACGAGCTGCGCTGGGGTAGGGCGCATAGCCGACGGGAGGAGGAACGAGAGCGCCGAGAGCCGTCACGAGAGCGTGGGCGATCCATGGAGCGATCGCCGCGCCGTCCCGCCTTCCGCGCCGATCGGGTCCCTGCTGTGAGGGACGGTCGAGTAGCCGATGCGCGAACGAATGACGAAGGACATGCCGAACGCGCGGATCGAAATGCGTGGCTCCAGGAGAGCGGATGCGGACCTGGCGCGGAGGGCGGAAACCACTGCGGCGGAAGGGTGTTCTGCTCCCCGGAGGAGCGCGGACGACGTCGCGACGAGAGAGGGCGGTGGTTGGCGTTCGGCGAGCAGTCTCGTGGACAAGGAGGGAGCGGCGGTAGCGTCGCTTGCGGAGAGAACTCGCCGCACAATGCAGTTCGAGAAGAGACGCCGGAGCAGGGCGCGGAGGACGAGGAAGAAGGATCGGGACGGTCAGACGAGGAGGCAGGGATAGAAGGGGCGAATGAGGCGCGACCAGGAGGAACGGGCGGTGCGGAAACCGAGCCGGCGGAAGCGCAAGCGGAGACGAGCCCGGTGGCGGTCGCGGAATTAGAGGCCCCGCCGCCGGGATCGCGCGGTCGAGACGATCCCCACGAGGAAGGGCGGCGCACAGAGAGCTCCGGACGGCAGGAGCTGGGCGGGCCAGAGATGAGCCATCGAGTGTGGCAGGCGCTGAATCCGCGCGGCAAGGGGAAGGAGGAGCGGTCCCGCTCGGCGGAGAGGGAGCGGCGCCTCGGGGGAGGGCGCGTGGGCGAGTTCCGCCCGCGCGGCGAGCGCCAGGAGCAGGGAGAGTGGAGCGGCGGCGCTTCGCATTCGGCAGGACGGCAGCAGCCGCGCGGTGAGAGGGGGCGAGAGGCGGAAACAGCGTCGCCGAAGCGGCACGGTCAGCAGCAAGGGGGACGCAGCAGCACCATGCGCTCGCCAGGCCGGACTAGGCAGAGGGAGCGGAGAGACAGCAGCTGGTCCCGCTCGCCGGACGGACAACACACGCGCAAGGAGAAGTACGCGGGGGAGCGGTCACCGCGGCGTCAGCCGCGCACTTGGAGGGAGCACTTGGACGCCTGGTCACCATCGCCAGAGAGGCGGCCGCGGCGCGAGATGAGCAGATGGGAGGAGCGGGAGGTGCACGGACCGCCGACGGTGCAGTGGGGACGGACAGAGGGGCGAGGAGGATCGAGGGAGAGGCGGTACGAGGCAGGCGGAAGCCGCCAAGAGAGCAGAACGGGAGGCGAAACTCTGGCGCAAGGGGCAGAGCGGGCGCGGGAAGCTAGAGAGGGCATGCAGAGGGCACGGGCGAGGGGAACAGAGAGGAGTCGGCAGGAAGGGGCCAGCGAGGCATGGGGAGAGGGGCGTGGGGGCAGCAACGGCGCCCCGCGGGTGGAGGTGCCCGCCAGATTCTCAGGTGATCAGCGTGCAGGACCGACCCTCAAGAACTACCTCATGCAGGTGGGGAATGTATGGTACCGCTGCGACCGGCACCACATGGATCCAGTAGACTTCTTCCTGAGCCTGCCGAACACGCTCGAGGGAGAGGCCGAGACGCTCTACCGTATGAGGATGGAGGAACTGCTGTGGAGGGCGGGTAGGTACGGCGAGGACCCCACCGAGGCATTCCTGGAGAGGCTGCAGCGGCAATTTCCAGGGCACACGGCCGAGCGCATAAGGGAGCTCCAGGAATTCAGCAGGGGCCGGACTGAATCATTGCTGACCTACTACAACCGGCTGATAAATGTGGCGGAGGATGTGAGATGCACGGACAGCGGCCTTCTCGTCAGCAAGTTCCTGGGGGGCTTGGACGAGGCCTTAGGAGGGGGGCTGAGGATGAGGGTGTATGAGCTCGGAGCGGATGCAAGCCTGGAGGAGGTGTTCGCCCTGGCGGAGAGGGTGGAGCTCGCGCAAAGGAAATTCGAGGCATATCTCCCCAGGCCAGCAGAGAGGAGTAGGCGGCCAACGTGGGCGGCGGCCATAATACCGGGAGGAGGAGGGAGAACGGAGGGACGAGGGGAGACTGGGGCGGATACCAGGACATGCCACAGGTGTGGACAGCCGGGCCATCTGCGCAGGGACTGCAAAAACTGTGATGGGTGCGGGAAGCCATAGGAAGCGGGAATGCCCGGATGCAGCCCGGTGTGAAATCTGCAAAAGGCAGGGACATGAGGCGAAGGATTGCTACCAGAGGGAAGGGGGGAGTAGGAGGCATCCAGAGGAACTGCAGCGGCAGATTAACAGGTTGCAGGCACAGCTGAGGGCAACAGGGCTGAAGGGGGAGGCGGAGGCAGGAATGTACGCGGGAGAAGGGGGGGGAGAGGAGGTGGAGCAGGACGTGCAGTGTGCTCTCATGGCATGGAGGGGGAGAGAGGAGATGGGGCTGAGAAGCGGGGGAAGAGATGGCAGGCGAGAGCAAGGAAGGAAGGAGCAGGTGAAGGGAGAAGCGCCATCCGAGCCAGCCCAAGAGCCAGCCCCCGCACGCCACCCCCAAGAGAGGCTGGCATGCCAGACCTCGGTGCTGCTGCTTGAAAAGGGAGCCATGGAAGTGGAGGGAGTGAAGGTAACGACAGCCATCATAGATACGGGGGCACAGAGCGTGATGTTGGGCAGAGGGATGGCTGAGAGGCTGGGACTGCTGGCTTCGGAGAGGCACGTGGCCAAGGGGATGCTGGTGATGACAGCGGAAGGGGGGGAGCCGAAATGGATGCCATGCACACGGACGCCCATAGAAGTGACGCTGCTGCCGGGGGGGACACATGAAACCAAAATCCGCATGAAGTGTGGGATTTCCGAGTCAGAGGACTTCGATGTGCTGGTGGGCACCGAGCTGGTGTATGCGGTAGGAATGACCATCTGCACTTGGATGGAGAGGGTGGAGTTTAGGACCAGATACTGGAAAAGGGAGGGGCCGCTAGGAGAACTGCCAGTGCGATTCGTGAAGGTGGAGCCGAAGAGAGTGTACCAGGCCGTGGGGGAGCGGCTGCCAGGGGAGCAGGGAGGGCTGCCAGGGAGGGGAGGAGCGCCTAGAATGAAGGGGATGGACAAGCCGCAGCAGCAGAGTGATTGGCAGCAGCCCATCCACCTGGTGGAGTTATTTGGGGGGATAGGGGCTGGGCTGTCAGCAGTGGTGAGGAATGGGATAGCAGTGAAGAGATGGACATATGTGGAGAAGGAACCCGGGGTGAGGAGGATGGCGGAGCACCATGCCAGGAAGCTGCAAGCGGAATTCCCGGACCTGCTGAGTGAGGAGGTGATCAGCAAGGTGATGGGGGGGACGATTCACGATGTGAAAGACATAGGTGAGGCCGAAGTAGCGAGCTGGGGGCAGGTGGATCTGCTGGTGGCAGGGTGGGAATGCCAAGGGGTGTCTTGGGCAGGCAGGGGCAAGGGAGGAGAAGATCATAGGACGGGGCTGCTGGAGGATGTGTTCCGAATCATGGAGTGGCTGCAGGAGAGGCAGGGCAGGGTGGCATACTTGCTGGAGAACCTGGACCTGGAGGGGGATAGCAGAGAGCCAATCCGGCTGGTGAGGGACAGGATCAGGGGACAACTGGGAGAAGGGGTGAGCTGTGATGCGGCCAGAATGGGGTCCTACGCGCACATGCTCAGAATGTACTGGCAGAATGTGGTCCCTGCCGAGCAACTGCAGGCAGAGATGGAGGGGGTAAGGCGAGCAGCAGAAAGGAAGGTGAAGGACATCCTGGAACCAGGGCGGACCCCAGCACCAGTGTGTCGCAAGAGCTACAGCAGGCACGAGCAGTGCAATCAAGTGGGGCAGGAGAGGAGGGCTCTGCCCACGCTGGTGGCGTATGTCGGGGCAGCAGGGTACAAGCGGGAAGCAGGGAAGCCGGGGCCGGGAATGGTGTATGACCACAAGAAGGGGAGATGGGAGGAGCCCACGGCACTGGAGCGGGAGCTGGCTATGGGATACGGGGAAGACGCAACAGCAGCGCCTGGGGCAAGTGAAGCGGACAGGAGGAGGGCTCTTGGGAATACAATGGATGGCCACGTGATGAGGTGGCTGATCCAGCGGATGTGGCGGGAGACGGTCGTGAGCTGGGGGCAGGCGGAAGAGAGAGGAAGGATGGAGGCGGAGCCACGGGGTGCATGGAGCTGCCAGGAGAAGGAGGAGGAGAGCTGGGTGGTGGGGGAAGGGATGAGCAAGGAGGGAAAGGAGGCCATGCAGGAGCTGCTCGCCAGGCACAGGAAGTGTTTTGCCTTCACCATGCAGGAACTGGGAAGGTGCAAGGTGAAGGAGATGGAGCTCAAGCTGAGCAGCACAGAACCAGTGTTCCAGCGCAGGAGGAAGATGCCGCCTGGGGATGAGGAGATCTGCAAGGAGAAGATCAAGGAGCTGCTGGAAGCAGGACTGATTAGGAGATCGGAGTCCGAGTATGCCACACCCACAGTGGTGGCAGCCAGGAGAGACCTGACAGGGGAGGTGCTGAGCAGGAGGATGTGTGGAGACTACAGGGCACTCAACAAAATCACCGTAGCAGACAGGTACCCGATGCCGATGGCGGAGGAGATCTTTGACAAACTGGCAGAGGGGGTGTTCTTCACTACGCTGGACCTGCGGCAGGGGTTCAACCAGATCAAAATCAGAAAGGAGGACGTTAGGAAGACGGCCTTTCATGGGCCAGACGGGCTGTACGAGTGGTTGTACATGCCGTTTGGACTGAGGAACGCATCAGCAGTATTCCAGAGGGTCATGGACAGCGTGCTGCGTGGAGTGGAGTGCGCAGCCTGCTACATTGATGATGTGGTGATCTTCAGCACCACAGAGCAGCAGCACCTGCAGGATGTGGAGCGGACCCTAGCGGCGATTGAAGCGGCGGGACTCACCTGCCATCCGAAGAAGTGCAGATGGGGGGAACAGACGGTGCAGTACCTAGGGTATGAGGTGAAAAGGGGACAGATAGGGATCCAACAGGCCAAGGTGGAAGTCCTGGACAGACTGAGGGAGCCGAGGGACAAGTCAGGGCTGAGAGCAGTGCTGCAAGGGGTGGGGGGAAGCACAGAAAGGGGCGCTGCAGGACCTGAAGGCAGCAGTGAAGACCGCGACGGTGCTCAAGCTGCCCGCCGCTGATCAGCCGTTCACGCTCTACACCGATTGGAGCAGCCAAGGGATGGGGGGGATTCTCTGCCAGGAGGTAGAAAGAGAGGAGAAGGTAGTGGCATATGCGAGCAGGAGCTGCAACTCGGCAGAGGCGCAGTACAGCTCCTACATCGGAGAAGGGTTGGCAGCCGTATGGGCAGTAGGGCATTTCAGGGTGTACCTGCAGGGGAGGGAATTCACCTTAGTAACAGACCACCAGCCCCTGATGTGGCTGATGTCAACCCCGGGACTGACAGGCAGGAATGCAAGATGGGCGATGAAGCTGCAGGAGTATGACTTCAAGATCAGGCATAGGCCAGGAAAGACACTGCAACACGTAGATGGCCTCTCACGGAACCCCCCACCGCTTGAGCCCACTATAACCTTGACACTGCTGGCCAGATTAGTGGAGCAGAACGGGGCCAAGGAGGGGAAGGGGCCAGCAGACATATGGGAGGACGGGCCGGCCCTGCGATGGGTAAAGGGAGAGACGGGAGAGGATGAAGCGCTACCGGCACGAGTAAGGGCAAGGGGCCAGCACTACCGGTGGTACCAGCAGCAGTTGCAGGTGCAGACAGAGGACGGATGGAAGCTGGTGCCGGCTCCAAGTGAGAGAGAAGCAGTGATTAAGGAAGTCCACACCAAGCTAGGGCACTTTGGGCACGAGAGGACAGTGCAGCTGTTGAAGACAGGGTGGTGGTGGGAGGGGATGCGGAGGCAAATAAAGGGGTGGGTGGAGGGCTGTGAGGCATGCCAAAGGAGCAGGGCAAACCTCACCCAAGCCAAGGCGGAGTTGCAGTCGCTGCCCATCCGAGGCCTCGGCTTCCGATGGTCCTTAGACCTGGCGGGGGAGCTGCCACTGAGCCGTGGGAGGAAGCAGTACATAGTGCTCATGGTCGAACATGTGAGCAAGTGGCTGGAGGTAAGAGCGATCCCGAGCAAGAGCTCCAGACACGTGGCAGCAGCGTTCAAGGAACAAGTGTTGTGCAGGTTCGGGGCATGTGCAGAGGTCCTAACAGATCAAGGGACAGAGTTCTAGGGGGAGTTCAAGGGGCTGCTGGAGGAGACTGGGATCACCCACAGGCGCACTTCGCGGTACCACCCACAGAGCGATGGGCTGACTGAGCGACTGGTCCAGACCTTGAAGCGGGGACTGCGAGCGTACGGGGAAAAGAGGAAGCGGGACTGGGACGAGGAGCTGCATTGGATAGCAGCAGGGTACAGATTTGGGAAGCAGGCGGCGCTGAGAGATCACTCCCCTTATAGTCTCCTATATGGGTGTGAGCCGATGCTGCCGGTGGGAGCAACCCGGGTCCTCACAGACACTGTGACTGCAGGGACGATAGAGAACTGGGTGGCGCTGTCCGAGACCAGGGCAAGATACCTACGAGTGATGATGCCAGCGGCAT